CTGTAGCTTATACCTCTGTATTTAACATTGTTCTTTTGTTACTCTTCAGCCAGAGATCCCAAAGCTGTTTCGTTATTAACGTATTATTCTAAGTATATCTTGTTCAGGCCTGGCTTAATTAACGAAAATGAGGTTTATTTTACGTCATGTTTGTCATGCATCTTTTATATCATTCTTGTACTGGATAATACGATGTGCATTATCAATAATTCAATAAAATAGATGCACAAGGTAATTAAGTTTTATATCTAACCTGTATGTGTTTGTACTTTGCAGCATAGATGAAAGGAATGACATTTTCAATCGCGTGACTTGAGAATTAAAAAAATCTTTATAATAGAAAGATTTCGCTTTTTACATTTTATTATTTTATGGAATAGAACTCAAAGTTTTGCGTTACATTTGTTACTTATTTTTGATCCCAAAAAGAATAGCCAGTATAAGACATAATTTTTCTTTGTCTCATAACGGCTTTAAAAAAGAAAACTGTCAGCTTCTAATTATGCTTGTCTTCCGCTTCGTAGAATAAGATGAGAATTTTTTTAATAGAATGTTGAATAAAGTATTCTCATGTCACATTTAATACTTTGTATAAACACATAAAGAAACGTAATCCCTGTCATGTGTATTTATATATTGTGGTATACATCAAGTCTGCAAGTCTGCTATTTTTTTATTTTCACCCAAATGCAATTTCTGAGCTCTTTTTAATATTTTACACTATGCCACAAGAGCAGTTCTCTGAGATTCAATAAATGAATTCTTACATTGCTTTTATTGCTATTATTTACCTGAATCTTGATATTAAACACGCGAACAAGCCATATGGATAACTGCGAGTTAATGCTTATGCCAATACTGAGCATTTGTACGTGATATTACGAGTATGTTGTCCAAATCATATCCCTACCACTGGTACCTTGAGGACTGTTGGTAACAGCACAACTTTGCTCATTTTCATCATGATTTCTATTGAAAATAGTCCAGTAAGTGGTTTTTTAGTCTTGTATTCTGCTTCTTTCAGTCGGTTCGTCGTATTTAAAATTGCTTCTACCCGCAAAGATGTAGAAAACACTAGCATCCCTAATTTGACCTAGATCCAAAGTTCCCAAGTCTGTCTGTCTCTTTGTACGACCAGCCACGATCAGATGCCGAGGACTGTAATTAAAATCATAACTGGATTTTGCAAATGCATGGTTTTGCCATTGTGCCGACAATGTACACTGGTGAAAGAAATTAAGAGAATTGTCATATTTGATCTACGATCTCCAGAACCACTAGACAGATTTTAATAAAATTTGGTGTGAACATAGGTTGATATAATACAAACAAAATAAACATTCAACAGTTATAATAGGCCCGCCAGCGGCCGAGCGGTAACGTCGCTGAACACTGGTAGTTCGGTCCGAGGTTCGAATCCCGCGAACGGGCTGGCTGCATGGGTGTTTTCGTGGTTTTCCCCATGTGTAACGTGTATACGAGCCAGTTTCCCTTAGAAAGTCCTCCACGAAGGCATCCCTCCCCTTAGGCAGATAGCCCTAGTGTGCTTTGCCATAATTAAATACACCAACAACAGTTATAATAGACACACATGTTCCTTTGTAACACTCATGGGAGTCTGAAGGTCTGAAACAGCGGTTGCAGAAGACACAAAAGAAATCGGTTAATAGGGGGTATTGTTCCCTCTTACAGCCATACAGGCCTCGCGGCGTGCTATCATACTGTAAATAAGGCAGTTTATCAGTGCTTGTTGCAATTGTTCCCACTCATTCAGCAACGCTGTTTTCAGTTCCTGGATGGTTCTCGGAGGGAGGTTGCGAGTTGCAATTGCCGTCCCCAGAGCGTTCCAGACATGCTGTATAGGGTTGAGGTCTGGAGACCTGGCTGGCCAATCAATCCGGCGAATATCCTCACTCTCGAGAAATTCGTCGACCAGAAGAGCTCTATGTGGTCTCGCGTTATCGTCCTATAAGATGAACTCGGGGCCCACTGCATGCCGGAAAAGGCGAACACAGGGCTCCAAGACCTCATCCCTATACCTCACACCATCACACATCACAGAGACTCTGTGAAAGACGTGGACAGGTGTGTGGCCATGCAAAATGATACCTGCCCAGACCATTACAACGCCACCGCCATAATTGTTGATTTCGCGGACATTGGAGGTAGGTAGCAGGTCTCTGGCTCTCTCCATATGAAAGTACAGCGAGAATCGGTTTTTAGGCTAAAACGAGACTCGTCGGTGAAACGAACGGTCGCCAATTGCTCCGTACTCCAATCACTATGCTGCCTGCACCATGCTAATCGGTGTCTCCTGTCCGTAGACGTGAGCGGGACGCAAACAGTCAGTCTTCTGGCAAAGAACCCTCTCTCATTCAGTCTTTTGGAAACAGTCACCCTTGTTACACGGGTTCGTGTGGCTGCATACATGTTCCAAAAGAACTGAGAAGCTGTAGCCCTTCTGTTACGCCTCGCTAAAATGGACAAATAGCGATCTTATCTGGCCGTCGTGTTGCCCAGGCTTTCTCGCGATGGATCCAGTGTATCCTGGAACTATTTCCATAGGTTACATACGATGCTGGGCTTTAAATTCAACTCTTTGCACATCTGGACTTGCGATTGGCCTGCCTCTAGCCTCCCCACAATTCGCCACCTCATTCTATCGTCTAAACTTTGGTGGTTACTCATTTTTACTGTTCCGATGTGAAATTAACCTAATGCTGCAAGGTAACACCAAGAAATTCGCCGAAGTGTGCTAACGAATGCAATTCGTTTTACCCTGCACGCGCTTATAAAGTATGTTTTTCTGCTGGCTCCACCTACACACACGTGTACGCTTACGTATTTGCCGTACAAGATTTGCATTTTTATCTAGAAGCAGTAGTTTTTCCTTCAGTTCAGTTCTTTTCATGAAATTCGATAAATATGCAGATTCTCTTAATTTATTTCACCGTTATATTTAAAATGCTGAAATTAGTCTTCAGTTTGATCTCAGAGAAAGCTAATCCCAAATTCCTCAAGAAAATTTTGATTTGTTCCTTCACTAGACACTCATAAAATTTTAATTCTTTCTCCGTAGAAGCACCGTAAACATTTAACAAGGTTAGCTAGTTCTGCATGTTTTTCTTTATTCATTATTTTCCTTAAACATATCTCTTTCTTTGAACCACTGTCAGCAAATAATTTGAGAAATTTTTTTGTTTCTCTGTGTGTCATAAAACATAGGTAAGCAGACACTATATAAATCACACAAGCTCCACAAAGACAAACTAAAATTTGAACAGTTTTGAATATGAAATTTTCCCGAAATTTTACTTTATTTGTAATAAATATCGTATGGTGTTTGTTTTTCATACCACACAAAGCTTTACGTTCACTGAAGTCATGAAGAAGTTAACCGATTGCTGCAAGACAACACCAAGAAATTCGCCGAGGTGTGCTAGCGAACGCAATTCGTCTTACCCTCCACGCGCTTATAAAGCCTGTTTTGTGCTGGTTCCGCCTATACACGCGTGTGCACTTACGTATTTGCCGTACAAGATTTGTATTTTTATCTAGAAGCAGTGGTTTTTTCCTTCAGTTCATTTCTTTTCATGCAATTAGATAAAATATGCAAATTCTCTTAATGTATTTCACCATTGTATAAGACAACATTTAACCTTAAACTGGAAGTATTCTAGAATTAACTTTGGAAAAAAAATGAATTGAGTTTTTCTAAAAATGCTTTAAAATTTATTTTCATCAAATATAATGATTAGTCATGTCTCGATATCGCATTATATGCTTGTTTTTATAATTTTCATTTTCCAATGATATCAGTAGTAGGGAACGGAGAGTTCATGGGGCAGGAGGCCTGGCGCAGTGCAAGCCCGCAAAAGGAGCGTGCAGCCAACAAACTGATAAGCGAGTGAGATAAGCGGTTCAATTTGATAAGAGATTGTCTTTTATTGATTTACTATTGTAATTTCCTTTAATTTTAGGATTTTTAGCCTTTGCATCTTGCTTTGTATTCCAGTTATTTTACTATATATCTATATAGTCGTTAATTCCTGTGCTTTCTTAGTAACTCTTATTTCCGAATTTAATGATTGTTTCGGAGAGCCTTAATTTCAGGGGTAAATCTTTCATTTCTTCCTTTTATGTTAAGCTTTATACTTTAATATGTACTCTTTATTTAAACTTATTTTCTTATATTTTTACACTATATGCATGAATTTTATTTTCCTTCGTGTTAATTACATTACGAATTTTTAATGTTTATTTCATTTTACACAAAACTTTGTTCATACCTTTCATCCAATATACTGTTAATTCTGCTTGTTTTGCTTAGATTGGTCCAGTTCTGATCAGTTTGTTATGTATAACGAATCGAGGGGCATTTGTCACGTAATGTTCCTGATCTCAACAAATGGCTTACTACTCAATGACAACTTTTTGAATAGAAAAGAGAGTGAATCAGGAAAGATTCAGTCATGCGTCAGTAGATGTTACTGATTAGAGGGATGGGGGCGGCAGATGATGAATCGGAAACGATTCCTTCAGTAGTAGTTACCGATGAGGGATATGGGGGAAAGCAGTGCATGACTCGGCACGATTTTAACCATAGGATGAAACCATAAAATAAGAAGCGGGAAATCCCTCATCTGACATCGCAAAGCCTTCTAAACTATGGACCTTCCAGGTTTTAGAAGTCCTCACTATTACCACGTAATTCTTTATGATCTCTTAACCGTTTACTTGGCGGAGGCTGTTTCCGTGTTACTTTATGCACATCGCTACAGTTTCCCTGTTACTTTATTCACGTCACTACGACAGTTCTACATTTACTTACGAATAGTACACCTTATTTCTTCAGCTTTTAATAAAAGAATTTGCTAAACATCTGGGGTTTTATTCTTTTCTTTGGAAAGCTTTTTTTTTTCTGCATCCGGTATTTTATTTTGGAAAGTGAATCTGGTATATTTAAAGAATTTATTACTAGATTTTGTTTAAATTTTCAGGCACGGAAGCATATCGCACAAGAGGAGCTGGTGAATGCTCGGCTATCCATGACTGTCCTGATCCTTGTGTTTGTGAAGGTACTGTTGTCGACTGCTCGGGTAAAAGACTGAGAGACATACCGGAAAATATTCCCGCCTATACAACAGAATTGTAAATATTATCTATGTTTTTATCAATCTTTGAGATTAATTTAAAAAATTATTTTTGTATATTTAATATAAAGCATAGTAAACAATCCATTTGTATGTTAAACAGATTTGTTGTTTATATGTAATGTTATGTTTTCACGTGTGTAATGCGTATGTTGAATTGTGTGCGGATTGTAGGTTACTTACTTGCGCGCAAAATTTCAATACACTTTATTAATAAATGCTATGGTTGCATAGAACTATTTCCAACATAGTTTCATCAGTATTCTAAAGCAGGAACAGCCAGCATCTGTAGCATTTTATGTTGTGTCTTAAGGCAATGAACCGCACATTTTGCTATTGAAATATTTAAAAAATACTTCTGGAAAATTAAGAAGTTACTTTAGGATTCTTGAGGTAGTAATTTAAATAATATTTTTTAAATGTTTTGCAGATAAAAAGAGCGCAAAAACCAAAGTTACAATTACACAAAAATATTCTAATATTCGTAATATGCTATTCGTAATATTTTTTCGGTTAAATTTCTTACAACTCATATAATACTGAAAACATAATGCAAGGTAGTGAGAACAATGCAAGCTCTCGTGCGAAGAACAGTTCACCAAAAACAGTTCGAATTGATATTGTTGATACTTAAGTTCTGAAGAAGGTTTAAAATAGCGAAGAGTCAGAAAATGAGCAAACATTAAAAGATCAGCTGTCAATACCAATAATTATAATTTAACCGGATTGCGTAGAGGGAGGAGGTACTCACAGGAAAAGAATTCAAGTGCATGCAATGCATGTGGTCTTCAGGTCACCAATCGCTTGTTCGAGACCAATGAAGACCAAGTGGCAGACTATGACCATGTATTGCTTACCAGTCTTTTATTATTGGCCGCGACTTACTTTAATTTTGTACAATTAGTTTTATTATTCAAATTGATGGAGTGAGCAGTGCATTCGAATAGAATATGAGGGAGGAGGTACTCACAGGAAAAGAATTCAAGTGCATGCAATGCATGTGGTCTTCAGGTCACCAATCGCTTGTTCGAGACCAATGAAGACCAAGTGGCAGACTATGACCATGTATTGCTTACCAGTCTTTTATTATTGGCCGCGACTTACTTTAATTTTGTACAATTAGTTTTATTATTCAAATTGATGGAGTGAGCAGTGCATTCGAATAGAATATGAAATATTTTTCAAAAGAACTGAGGTTCGAGTTGTGTAAATTTCAGTGGGGTATACGAGTTATCGTAGCACAAAAAATTAGATATGTTTGTTCGCAAATTGTTGGCAAACCTTTCGTGTTTCTAAGAACTTTTGATAAAAAGTATTCAGTGTTAGAGATCACTTATGTATCTTTTTTTTTTAATTTGAAAATATACAGACTCCTAGTGCACCAAAGATGTACAACAGGGGGCTTACAGAAGTAATTTAACTAAAACATTAAAAGCTGCATGCATAAATAAAACGAACAAAAGCAGAGAACAGCAGTCTGGACTTAACGAAAACAGATGAGTTCACTGGCCAAGTCACTCCGAACATTTTCAAATCGTTCTGCAAGCATAATCTAGGCCCATATAATGTAGAGCATGAGAAAATCAAATGTTCCACATCCTGAGGTATTCTTTTTGAATATTCACATAAATTGTTTGAACTTAAATTGATACGAAACAGGTAACTTGCAAATTTACCGTGACCAGATAAAACTGAGGAACTTTAATAGAGAGGAAAGCCTCGAAATGCAAGTCTATGGTAAATGGAAAGAAAGAACGTTTTCGTGACCTCAGCATTACAAGATGAAATATATTCCTCATTCCACTTAGCTAAAAGCTTCTTATAATGTTCTTATAAAGCTGACTTCCAATAGCTGTTTGGAATGCTAATGTTAAACAATGCATAAATTTAAGACATCTTTAGCTAAGAAATCACCTCTTTCATTTCTATAGAAACCGTGATGAGCACGCACATAAGCAAAGCGGATATCAATTCCTCTATTTCTAAGCGAACTGATAGTTAATAAGGTTTCGATAACTAATTTGTCTCAGCTTCGACTGAGAGGTTATATGATATATCAGATTATTTTTTGAAAATAAACAGCGAAACATATCACAAATTACGATTATTATAAAGTTATAATTGTTGATACAGAAATAAAAATGTACATTAATACCTGTATTTTTATTTTATATAATTTTAAGAAATAATTTTGAAATATTTTTAGTATGGTAGTTTTCTGTTGTCCCTCAATCAATTTTAGTGGTCATATCTGTTTTAAATCAAAAATCTACGAAATGATGTGGGAGGACTCTTGATGTTGTATTTATAAACTTTTATACTGGTCTGGAACATCCGTATGAAAGGCTCTACAAGGCTTATCTTCAGGTTGATCCTATTTTCATCGAATATGTATTATTAAAATGGCAGCATCGCTTAATTTTAAATACTGTAAACAATAGAGGTCGTTTCAAACAGATTCTGTAAAATTCCCTTGATCTTATGTGACACGATATGCATGAAATGCACTTGAAAAGGCATAATATATTGAGAAATCTGCTGCTGAGCGCTTCAAAATTCCTGCAGCAATTAAAGAAACGGCGTCATAGTGCTAGCTCATCGTCTCGACAAAGGAAGCAGGATTTAAAGTGGGAAATTTAACCTATTGGAAAGTACGTTGGTGCAGTGGTTTGGAGATGCTTGAGCTTCCGGTGCAGTGGATGGCGTAGAAATAATTGCATCAAATTTGAAGCGATATAGCTACAAAACGACGTTAATCGAAAAAATGGCACTAAGGTTCAGATAAAAAGAAAGGTTTTCGTGCAATATAACCCTTTGAAAAGACATCAAGAAAGGCGAGCCAAAAAATATAAACAAATAAACATGAAATAAAATAATTATTATTTAATAATTAAAATGAATGAAGTGTAAAATGTTAATAAAATAGATAATTAATTAATGTTAAGGAAGTGAATAATAAAAAAAATCTGATGTGTACACCACAAGACTTCCTTGTACGGAATATTAAATTATACGCATTTTTTCTTTCATTTCATTTAAACTTATTGGACTGAATTAAATCTACTTCGTCGATAGCGCATAAACCACAATAGAATAAATGCACTCTTTAAATTTCACTATATTTGTTTACCATAGCAACACTCTGGCGCTAGGTTCACTTAACAGCGTTATATTTCGTTCATATTATAACTCAGAATACACAAAATTTATATCATTTGAAGAATTATCTAATCGTTGCCACATGTTCTATTCAATTATTGTAATAAATCTAGAACAATGTATAAAAGAAATTAAGCAAACAAAACAAGAAAAGAAACAGTTTTTCATAGACGATTCAGCATTTCTCATTCAATTAATTCAGTTCTCACTTCGCGACAAGGCAAAAATACATAAAAACTAAAAATATCTATATTAAAAATTACGAAGTAAATCTTAAAAACTTACTTTCTTGAAAAAATTCCAGAAAAGATTAAGTATAATTTAATTCGCAATAATAAATGAAGTCGTTATCTTTGTTGTTGCGAAGCTTAGTCTCTCTAGATTGGCAACAAATCTACTATTCTGATGTTTCAAATGTAAACAAATATGTCTGCCATGTTATTTAAAACGTAAGGCTTAACCGCACTTAAACAGCTTTTAAATTGTTGATAATTGTACAAAATATTGCTTGCAGATTTACTAAAGGCATTAAAATCCTTAACCGGAAGATAAGAACAACATAATTAAACCATTTTTAAAGTAAAAAATGCACAATTTACAAACGTATAAGAGTAAAGAAACTGAGATCACTGAGCCGGGTAACAGAGTGGATATATATATATAAGTATCTTTATATACGTTTGGAGCGGCCGATTGCAACCAAAATACGAGGTGCACATCTACATGCTATAGCAGTCCTATATAGAAAATTTCAACGTTCTGAGGCTACTCGTTTTTGAGTTGTGCGATATACATACGTACGTACATACATACGTTCAGACACCACGAAAACTTCTTTTCGGAATTCATTTTAAAGCAGTTTTATAATTGTTTTGGAGGGAAAGACTCTTTTCTGTCCTTACGTACAGATGTTACGCAAAAACATCGTTAGATTGCCTTCGATAGCGATCAAAATGAAAATTTTCGTTGAAATATTCTGCCTGAAACTTTTCGCAATTACAATACTTCCTTTTCACTTCGTACAAGTAAGTACAAATACGAGAACTCATCTTATTTGGGATTCCAGCGTGAGTTAACGATTTCACTTAAAAAATGAGAACTACCAGAGTTGGGAATCAGTTAGCTTTTTATGAACTTAAGCTTTGCGCTAAACGTATACGATCACCTGCTCTTTGAACTATTTTTTGTATACCTGTTTCATAGGTGTACTTAAATTTCTAAATGCCAGCAGAGAAGATGGAGCATCGAGCCCTCATATACTTTAAATCAGATGTTTAAATAAACCGAATATCTGGACTAAACTATCGGTTCAAACGCAATTCATTATAGTACTACGTGCTCTTAAAGCTCTCAGATGTAATAAAATCGTTCGATCTTGGCCTCACAATAATATTATTCATGTGATATGCAAAAAAGTGAATTTTTTCAACAAAATAAAAATTAAAATTGCATTACCTATAGAATTAAAACTGTATTACTGCAATGGATTTTTATTTTTTATAGCTTTCACTAAACGATTTTTAAAAGATGCAAAAACAAATAAACAATTTTTATGTAACCTCTTAATATTTAAAGACATAAGAAATCACAATTAAAAATGTTAAAAAAAATCTGATGTGTGCACCCCATGACTTCCTTGTACGGAATATTAAATTATACTCATTTTTTCTTGCATTTCATTTAAACTTATTGGATTGAATTAAACCTACTTCGCCGATAGCGCATAAACCACAATAGAATAAATGCATTCTTTAAAATTCACTTTGTTTACCATAGCGACACTCTGGCGCTAGGTTTACTTAACAGTATTATATTTCGTTCATATTATGACTCAGAATGCACAAAATTTATCTCATTTGAAGAATAATCTAATCGTTGCCACAAGTTCTATTCAAATACTATAATAAAGCTAGAATGACGTATAAAAGAAATTAAGCAAACAAAACAAAAAAAGAAACAGTTTTTCACAGACGATTGAGTATTTCTCATTTAATTAATTCAGTTCTCACTTCACGAGAAGGCAAAAATATATAAGAACTCAAAATATCTATATTAAAAATTACGAAGTAAATCTTAAACGCTTATTTCCTCGAAAAAATTCCAGAACGGATTAAGCATGATTTAAATAATAAATGAAGGCGTTAGCTTTGTTGTTGCGAAGCTAAGTTTCTCTAGATTGGCAACAAATCCACTAGTCTCCTGTTTCAAATGTAAACATCAATGGCCGCCATTAAAAAAGGCTTAGCGGCAATTAAACAACTTTAAAATTGCTGATAATTCTAAAAATATTGCACGCAGATTTACTAAAGGCATAAAATCCTTAACCGGAAGATAAAAACAACATAATTCAATCATTTTTAAAGCAAAAAATGTACAATTTACCAACATATAAGAGTAAAGAAACTGAGATTACTGAGCCGGGTAACAGAGTGGATATATATTTATTATATTTATATACGTTTGGTGCGGCCGATTGCAACCAAAATACGAGGTGCACATCTACATGTTATAGCAGTTTTATATACAAAATTTCAGCGTTCTGAGGCTACTCGTTTTTGAGTTATGCGAGATACGTACGTACGTACATACATTCGTACAGACGCCACGAAAAATTTTCTTCAGAATTCATTTTAAATCAGTTTTATAATTTTTTGGAGCAAAATAGTGTTTTATTCTGTCCTTAGATACAGATATCATGGAAATACATCGTTAAATTGCATTTGAAAGAAGTCAAGATGGGATATTTTCGTTAAAATATGCTGGCTGAAACTTTTCGCAATTACAATACTTCCTTTTTACTTCGTACAAGGAAGTAAAAAGAACATTTATTGACTGCTAATTTTAGGGAGAAGAATATATATTACATTTATTTGGCAAAAGAAGTACATAGTTATGTCATGATAAAAATTTAATGTTCATTAAATACAAAAGTAATTACTTGAAGAGTAAAACTAAATTTCGAAACTCTCTTCTTTATAACTCGATAATAATACAAATAAATAAATGCAAATAAGAATTACTTAACCGTAGGAAATTGTGTGGCTAAAATTTTAACTTCTGTTTAATGTAGACATTGCACAAAAAAGGGGGAGGGGCAGTTCTATATGTCTTGTTCTACTGGGCCAATTGTTGAAGTTTAACTAGCATTTTTTCATGATTGGAAAACGGGAGTTAGAATATATATTAGATTTATATATAGCGTTGTTCTAACTTAGGTATTCTGACGTAAAGTCGGACTTTTTCTGAAATGACACATCAAGTTTTTTCCATATTTCGATTCTACTACCCAAATAATGCCAAAGTGCCAAGGTTTATAAAAATCGCACGAGTATTATTAAAAAATTAGCTCTCAAAATTTTAGCTCATCGGTGTTAATTGACTCTGGTATATATTTATTAATATCTCTTTTGTTAAACTTTGTAGTTCGAAATTTAGGTTCAATCCAAATAAAATTCGCAGCTATTTTCTGATTTGATTTTAAAATTTGTACTTTTTAGTAGTTTTTATAAATTTTTCGAAAACATTTTTCAGTTAAGACCTATAAAAGTTTTGCCATCAACTTAAATTACATGTATTTCTAGGCATGCCTGGGAAAAAAATTAGAGTTTTTTAATTCAAAATTTCTCGAGATATATATGAATTTATATATTGGTACGTTTTCAAATTTGGCATATTTTGCTGGAAGCGATAATAACTCCAAATGTACTTTATGCTTTTTGTTAGAATTATTCGATAGATTGTACGTTACCCTTTTCCGCTTATGCGCAATGAAAGGGAAAGGAAAATAGATTACCATAAATTAAGAATTTCGCCAAATGAATTATTCTTGGCGCAAACAGAAAAATATGCGCCAAGATAAACTTTTTAATTTCTGCTTACGTTTCTCACCAAATTTCGAAAAATTTAATATTTGGTCATAATTTGAGTCGTAGAATCGAAATATGGGAAAACATTGATATGTCAAAGCCCGATTTTGTGTCAAAATACCTACGTTAGAACAATGATATGTATAGATCTAATATATATCCTAAGTCGCACTTTTGAGACATGAAAAACGAAGGTTAAATTTCTTCAATCGCCCCAGTGAAATGTAGATTAAAACACTCCCCTTTTTTCTGCAGTATGAAACGCCATAAAAAATTCGCATTTCAAAGATCAGTAAAGGTATAATTAGAAAATTCAAAAAATATATTTATACAGTATTATAAGTAGTAGCAGAAATTTTTTAACCCAGTTTCTGTGATGCATCGAGGAATTTTTCTTTATAATTTCTTATTTTTATATTAATTTAATTACTTTGATTAATTGCATATCTTCTGCTTCTTAGGCGGCTGAATAACAATGTGATTCCCAAAATAAAAAGCAATGGTTTCTTCAAGAAACTACAGCATCTGACAAAAATGTAAGACACTTTGTTTCAATTCCTTCCTTTTTGCAATTGTGCATTTTTAATCGTATGATATTTTTAGTTAATTAATTGCTTATGATATTTTAGTTAAATTAATTGTTTTATAAAATTAATTGATTTGTATGACATTGCATTTTTAAATATTTATTTTTTAATTAACTTATCCTTTTAAGGTTCTACATTTGTTTTATTCTAGCATTACTTTCCATATATTAGTGTTTTTGATATTGAATGTATATCTTGTATAAATTAATTCTGGCATAAGGTCCGCCTTGTCAGTTTTTTTTATATTTCATAGATTATCATATTATATCATCATATTATAGTTTTATTTAATAAAACATCAAATTTATTATTTATCTGTAACCTGAGTGCATAACTTCTAGTCAGTTTTATCCTCTAAATATACTAGATTAAGAGTATTCTTATTTTTTAACATTTTTCAGACTTTCTACCTACATATACTTATACACGGTAATTCTGTCAGGCCCAGACTATTGCCTGTAAAAATTATATTATTGACAAAATGACTTGAAAATATATCATAATTATCCATTAAAGATGGGAAAAATACTCTGCTGAACCCATGCTAAGGACGGACAACACTGTCACCCATAGTAACCACTAAAGGGAAAGGAAGGAAATTGTGAAAATTTAGAATAAGTGCAGAGATGGAGAAGTATGTGTATGTAAATTTTCCTCTCCAGTTCATCACGTGACAGCACTCATAAAAGACTTAAAGTATTTGACGCGAACGCCCATCTGTGAAAATTTTACGGAAATGATTTAATTGATGATCTTTGAAGTTTTAGTATGTCTTCCCGTCATCCTCTTAGATGATTTCATGCGTGGCCGTATCATTGGAAAGATTCAAAGGAGCGCGAAAAGTAAGAGATGTTGCCGTGGAATTCAACATCGCTCAAGCGTTCTTTCACATCCGTGGAAAGCATTTAAAGCAACTGAAACTTGTAACTAGCATCATGAGGGACGTAGTTTTAGATGTACGACTCCTGCGGGAAACAGTACATTACTCTGACGGCAAAAAGAAACCAGCCTACCACAACTCAGCAGGTGGCTGATAAGTTTCTTGCTGCCACAGGACAGCGGATCTTCCAAAAATTAAGCCTGACGTTCGGGAGAAGGAGGACTGTATGCCCGCAGATTGTATGTCTTCCATTGTCCATACAGCACTTTATTGCTCGTTTTCAATGGTTTTGCGAGCGTTGCATTGGACGTGAAGAAAAGGGACTGATATCACAGATGCAGTATCATAGTATGGGCAGTGGTATAGGTAGGGCGGAGCAAGTGGAAAGATCTGTCCCCGGGTGCATCATCCAAGGAGCGCGAAATTGATGCTACGAAATTTTAGAATGAAATGTTTTCCATTCCTTTTAAATAGAAAAAGGAGCGAAATCTTCGACTTTCCTCGGGCACTGAAAATCCTAGCTATGGCTCTGAGTATGGGCCAGCATAAGGACCAGTAACCGCATGTCCCTACGTTTGGTTGTAGTTAAGACTATGACCGACCATTGATACATTGATGAAATTCTGTTGCCTCATATTTACCTTTTCCCTGATGCTGTCGGTGACTAATTTCTTTGATCAGCACTTTCTCTAGATCTAAACTTCATTGTTTGGGGACCTAAAATGTTTGGGATGCTCTGAGGAGGCTATTGTCTGGACGAAAATATTCCCCAACGTACAAAAACACATTCGTGTACTGACAGAATAGCGAGATCAATTGCATCAACAGCTGCTAGATAATGTTGTGTAAAACATGACACGACGGGTGAAAAGTGGCATCCCACTCCACGGTGCATATTCTCGCAAGGGCACCTTTCTCAAATATGCTTGATATCGTTCATATGCATTTTTCCATTTCTCTTGGCACAGCATCGAATGAGCACTTTTTTTACTTTTAGATACTAATTCAGAAGTCAAACAACAAAAATCAGCGTTATACCTACAAAATTTTCACAGGACTAGTTCGATGGTTTTACCGAACCATCATCTTCAGCTGCAAAACCGCAAATGAACAAGATAGGAAATAATGATTAGATAAGATAAGAAAGCCTGGACAAGAATAAGCAAGTGGCGCCATCTGTTGGCGAAACCAGAACTAAAACATAATTTCTCTAAAAGCCGAAGGCAAATTTGGATTGGAATTAGGATCGTTAACTAGAACAGAAAGATTTTTATTAATGTGAAATGCCTCTAGAAAATCCAGTTCTCCAATGGAAGATGTTTTTTGAATAATTTTGGCAGCAGAAAAATTGAAAGTGTGATTTTCGGACCAACAATGTTGAGCAACAGAAGACTTCTGTGTTTCCTTTTTTCTAACATATGCCTCATGTTCTTTGACGCGAAATTTTAAGGCTCTCCTAGTTTGGCCAATGTAAATTAAACCACACTGGCAAGGAATCCTATAAATACCCCAGGAATTCATATCCGGAATGGGGTCCTTGAGTATAGAAGTTGGAATTTTATTGATGGGAGAATAAACAACCCGAAAGTTAAACTTCTGCAAAATATGTGCAACTTTATAGCTAATTGATGGAAAGAAGGGAATGACAACAGAATTTTTATAATCTCCTAAAATAAGAGTGTGGCTTTTAGTGTGTTGAGATGAGAATTTTTTAACTGCTTGATTAATAATGTTGGGTGAAAAGCCCCTGTCAATAGCTATTGCTTTTAAATAATTTAGTTCTTCATCAAGGGCTAGTTTGGAGGAGCAAACTTGAAGAGCACGGAAAACATAGGAATAAAATGAAGCTAACTTTTGTTTAGTCGGATGACATGATTTAAAGTGTGGTGCAAGGCAAACCGATGAAGGTTTACGGTAAACTGTAGTACTGAAGTTGGATGTCTTACGTGTGACCAGAATGTCGAGAAACGGAAGAGAATTGCAAGTCTCAAGTTCAAAAGTGAACTGAATAGCAGGATCAATAGAATTCATTGTTGAAAGAACTTTATTTAAATCATCTTTATTACCTTCAAACAGGGTAAAAGTATCGTCTACGTAGCGGAACCATGCCGGGAAGTTTAAAGTTTCAAACAATTTTGATTCATAATAATGCATGTAGATATCAGCCAGGATGGGACTGAGGGGGCTTCCCATGGCTAATCCCTCAGTTTGCTTGTAATATTTATTTTGGAAAACAAAATGTGTTTGTTTCAAACAGAGTTGAGTGAGAGAAATTAGCTCATCAATTTCGATGCAAGAGAAATGAAATTCGCGAAGTCTGGTTTCTAGACATCTTAATGCACCCTCCACTGGAACATTGGTGAATAATGATTTTACATCAAAAGAAACCATGAGTAAATTACTAGGAGAAATGTTTTTAACCTTTTTTACAAACTCTATTGAATTTTTTATGGTGTAAATGTTATTGTCTAAGAGAGTGGAAAATCTAGAAACTAAATATTTAGCTAAAGGATACGAGGCAGTACCTAAATTTGATACAATAGGGCGGAAAGGAATACCATTTTTATGAATTTTGGGAAGAGCATATAATCTGGCACAATTCGCAACAGATGGGATAAGCGAATGTTTTAAGTTGCTTGAAATGATTTGCGAAGATTTGATCGCAGTTTTTTTTGGATAAGTCCGAAGGTGAAGGATCTTTAGGGATCGGATTATATGGTCCTTCGTTTAAGAGTTTAGTGACACCATCGATGTAAGTGTTCTTATCCATGACGACTATCTGGCCACCTTTGTCAGCCTTTGAAATGATAATATCCGGGTTAGAATGAATTTCGCGCATTGTAGCTCTTTCTCTCGCAGTTAGATTTGGTTTCAAAGGTTTATTATTGAATTTCACATTATGAGCGATAAGATGCATAATCATTTCTTTCTGTGAATCTGAAACTTTACTGAACTTGAAAGCTTTTTCGATAGGAGCCAAAATCTTTGGAATCGAGGGTTTACAGGTTTGTGAGAAGTTAAAATTATATTTTAGAATTCTCTCTTGTTCTTCTGAAAGACTAACATTAGAAATATTAACTATTGGCTTGATGTTTACAATGGGAAGATTTTTTGAACTACTTGAACTGGAAGACCGTAAAAGAAGTTTTTCGAATTTAACTGCAATGGTGTTTTCATGAAGGTTAACTGCATTCTCCGTTCTAGACCAAGACTTTTGTTCAAGGGCAGTGAATTTTGGATATGATTTAGAGAGTTCCAGATGAAGCTTATAGAGTTCATGTTCAATTTTGGACAATTGTTGACGTGTATCCCTTATCACGGACCGAAGTAAGGCAAGTTTGCAATTTAACAGAATTCTTGAAACGCGACTCGAAGGTTTTTGATTAGATTTGATTTGAATAAAATTAGGGATCAATTTTTTACATTTACATTTAAGTAAAAAGTCAAGATTATTCAGGAATTTTTGCCGTTTCAGGCGTAATTTAGTGAAACGATTAACGGATGAAGGCATGATAAACAATGCAGAAAATCAAACCAAATTAACTGAGCAATAATAAAGTACACACAAAACAGCAGAAAAATCCCTCACTGAAATGAATAGAAAACAAAACGTTTGTAAGCAAAATGCATGAAATCAGATAAGCAAAGCACAATATCCAAAAGTCCTGTGAATATTTTGTAGGTATAACGCTGATTTTTGTTGTTTGACTTCTGAATTAGTATTTATTCGGCGTGTTATTGTGTCTTAATTATAGAAGCCCCGAACAGGCTTACATTTTTGCTTTCTTTTTTGCACGAGGTGTGGCTGTCCATTTTGTGATTGTATGAGTTTCGGTGAGTACAATTTTTGCAATTTTCAAGTTAAGTTTATATTTTGTACATTTGGATATTGTGCTTGCTCTGATGATTTCATGCATTTTGCTTACAAACGTTTTGTTTTCTATTCATTTCAGTGAGGGATTTTTCTGCTGTTTTGTGTGTACTTTATTATTGCTCAGTTAATTGGTTTGATTTTCTGCATTGTTTATCATGCCTTCATCCGTTACATCGTTTCACTAAGTGCGCCTGA